TATTAAAAAAATGAAATTAATAATTAAAAACAACTTTTCGGACACAAAATTGAAGGTTTTAGCTATAGCGTAGCTTTATATCACCGGTGGAGTTTTAGTAGAGTTCTGCTTCGGAAAAAGGTTGATTTTTTTCGTCTTTCCGTGTTCATCTGCATAAGGTCTGTCTTCTGGGTTTTTCTCTTTTCTCCTCCTTCCCTTCTTTTATTCTGTCAAGATTTCATCCTTCTAATTTTTAAAACTTTTGACTTACTTTCTACTTTTATTGGGTACTACGTACATGATCTGTTCAAAGAACTGAGGGAATTCATGTGATTTTTCCTTATTCAGAATTAGGGTGTCTTGTTCAATCTGAATTTTTAGCCTTCTTTGGAACAAAAAAAAATTGGCTTAGTTTCCGCAAAACATAAACTTTGTAATTTAGGGTAAGTATATTTGTAGTTTTTGTGTTGCTCCCTTAGATTAGGAACTTTTTTTTTTTTTTCTTTTTTTTGACTTGTATCTCAGGTTCAAGCTATTATGGGCATGAATCTAATGTCACAAACAATCTTTTACATGCCATCAATCATGGGTTTTTAACTCTCCTGAGTGTTAAGTTATTTACTTTGGTTGGTGATTTCAGGGGGAATGGCCAAGAGTTACTTCAAGCAAGAGCATGATCTTGGTTTGTACCATCAATTATCTTTTTTTTTGTTTTAAAGGACTATTTGTTAGAAAATCGTTAGTCAGTGATGGATATTGGGTTGATTAATATGTATGGCTTCTGTATGAATATGTCTGTTAATCTATAATAAGGAATGGATATTAATGGTGTGAATTGAGGTTTATGTAGTGGTTGTTTGTTTCTGGTTTCAGAGAAAAGACGTGCAGAGGCTGCTAGGATTAGGGAGAAATACCCAGATAGGATTCCGGTGAGGATTGAACTTTACTCTGCAATCTTTATGTTGCTGGTTATGTTGCTGGTTATGTTGCCGGATATCTTACCTCTTCTATAGGCCTCCATATATTGTTAGCCATTTCAATAAATCTTTTATTGGACTGGATTGTAATGACCACTTTTAAAATTTTGTCCCTTCTAAAGCAATACCTTTTGAAAAAGTTGAGTTGAGAAGCAATGAAGCACATAAATTACGATTAATGGAAAGTTATGTTTATTTTTATTGTTTAACTTTTAAGTGTGAATTCTGCCTACAACAACTTTTATGGTGGTAATCTGAATGAGATATAGTCATTCATCTTGTTTTAGGGATAGCATTCATTGTTAGGGATACTGAATTCAAGATGCTTAGCAATGACAAAATAAGTACTTAAATGATTACAACATTGTTTGTTTGGTTTCCGGGCTAACTTGTTCCTGTTTCTTGCTTGTGTAAATTTAAGGTGATTGTTGAGAAGGCAGAGGGAAGTGATATACCAAACATAGACAAGAAAAAGTAAGCAGTCCTCCTATTTATCAACGAATCTGGATCTTTTGTGTGTGTTCTGTGCCAATTTTATCATCATTTTTCCTTGCATATTCAATTGAGCTCTTTTGCCATTGATGCATAATTGATCTAGACTCCATAATCATGGTTGTCAAACAATCTCATGGTCAGAATATCATAAAGATGTTGTGGTAATTCTTCAGAATGTATGGATAAATACTATGATGATATATAAACTACGCTATTTCTTTTCTGTCCTCTGTTAATTTTGAAGAATCCAAGCAATGATAGTTTTTTCATTAGACGCTTTTTGCCAGGCTAATCTTAATTCATCGATGCCTATGGCTAATAATTAGTAATATGGTTATACAAATTACAGGTACCTTGTCCCAGCTGACTTGACTGTAGGGCAGTTTGTTTATGTGATCCGCAAAAGGATCAAACTGAGTGCAGAGAAGGCAATCTTCATATTCGTGGACAACGTGCTCCCACCAACTGGTAATCCCTTGCAAGCTAGCTTTTTAGCGTTGTTTTCTAATATGGAAAGGGGCAGCTTTTCATAGATTGTTTGTACAGGTGCCAGTATGTCAGCCATATACGAGGAGAAGAAGGATGAAGATGGGTTTCTTTACGTTACATACAGTGGGGAGAATACTTTTGGGGATGAGGTTGTGCTGTAGCCTACGGTGGAGCATTTCAGCATTGTATCATCGATCTCTTGGAATCAACGTATATGATCATTTCCCTATATGATATTTGGATATTTGGTTGTCATTTTATATAAACAGATGTCAGTCTGCTATGGTATGAATGTACAGTTGCTTAATGTTTATATGTTCTTCAATTCCCGCACAAATTTATGTAATGCAAAAAAATAAAAAAAGAAACAATGTAGTGGTGGTGCTTCTGGCTGAATTTCTCACAAGATCGTTGGCAAAAAAAATCAATTTTCGTGTATGCGTCTATGAGGTTGTGTAAAATTAGGATGTCATGCTTATGGAAAGATATAAATATTCTCAATGAATTAACATGTCAAATTTATATTTAAATAATTATATCATTTTATATTTCAAATTTTAAGCGTTTTTTGGATAAAAATTAATAAACGAAAAGAAGGGGGAGGGAATGGAGGACAAGTGAAAATAAATAAACGAAAAGGAGGAGAAAGGAACGGAGGACAGGTGAAACCGTGAAAGGAATGGAGATGTAGATTCAATTTCTGCAGTGGCTCGGTTGAAACAACATTGCCTCTTCGTAGCATGGTTGAGAAGTCGCTTTTGAATCCGAAGTTTGATGAGGTTTTCAACACCTTTTATGATTCCACGATTTTGATTTTGAAGATCTAGACAAATTTGACAATGACAAATTTATGAAAGATTTTGAGGAGTTAGAAGTTTTGAAGTCCGATATTGGGAAGCTAAATTTGAAGCCTTTGATATTTTGATGTCTGTAGTGCGCAGAAGCATTGCCCATTCACACACAAAAATATTGTAGGGTCTAATGTGAGATAATATTGTGGGTAAAATCATTTAGTTGTCATATATGTAGGTTTGAGAATCATACAACTTTGAAAGTTGGCCGCTACAATAATTATCTATTCAAAAGACTGATAAGGAGCCATCATTTTTTTTTTTTTTTCCATATTAACAGATTCCAAGTGTTTGTTTGAAGTGAATAAGGCATGCTTGCCATCTAAATGAAAAATAGAATTCATTTGACAATATATCTCATGTTAACAACCTCAGTGATGCTTGCAACGACTTTGATTATGGTGATTATGTAGTTACAATGAATGTAAGATTACAAATTTACAATCTTGATATATTACTAAATGAGTAAATAACACATCACAATTGTAAGCGTTTCATATCATTTTTGCTTTGAATAAGATTTATTTCCTTTCTTTTTAAAACTCAACACGCACAGTGTTTCCAATAAATTTCAATGTAGTGGTGAATAGAAAGAGAAGAACAAGTAGGACAATAGAAAAGAATTGGTTAAAACCTTAAACAACACCTTTTTCTCGCTTGTTTATACACCCCACCATTGTCCGTGCAACATACAAAGGAGATAACCCTCTTGTACTCTAAACAGTTTCTCACTTATCTTAACATCTGAATTTTTAAACTTGACATCACCAACTTGAATCTACAAAAATTATATGCAATTAGATTGGAACAAATGTACATTGAGTAAACCACAATTTATATACTAAGAAGAAGAAGAAGAAAAAAAAAAAAACCAGACCACCATTTAGAAGTTAAGTTGAAGTTATTAAGATATAATCTTGGCCAAGGTCTCAATCTATAAAATAATCTACTGGTTTACACTGGATTGCAAACTTTAATGAGTAAAAGAAGATTTGTAAATTGTAACAGTGCGTTTGATATTCTTTCTACCACATATTAGTAAGTTCGAGACTTGATAAAATTTGGTTAAAAAGAAAATACAATGAACGAACCAATAGGTTGAACTAACAAGTTAAACCCCATTTGAGAGGTATATCTCCCAACTGCAATCATGGGAATACCGCTTTGTCACATTGCCACAAGAAGGTGTCACCAAGAATAATAGCATCGCTTGCAATTTTCTCCTTTGCATACCTTGCTCAAACTCCATAAAAGGTATACTTTTCATCACTTCATTTGAAAATTTCATCTCCAACTCCTAATGAGATAGGAGTGGAAAACTTGGAGAATCATTTGGTATCACCATCAAAATTTTATTAGAAAATGAAGAAAAAACTTCAAAAACAAAACATTTCAGTATTGTTTAAAAAAGAACTTCGAAATAAAAAGGAAATTAAAAATTGGAAACTTAAATACGAAGAAGATAATCCGATTAGATATATCTTTGGTTATGTTGTTGTTTCTTTACATTTTTATTTATTAAATTTTGGAGAAAAAATCATAATAAATGTTATGAAAACTAGCTAAAAATCATTTGAAAAAAATACATCTGTAAAAATGGTCTTAAAACAATTGAATGATTAACATATTAACATGCTTATAAGTGTGTGTACATGAAAATATAACCATTATTTAATCCATATTCTCTTTATTACATTTTTAGTAATTATTTTATTGCATTGATTACTGGTTTTTTTTTTTTTTAATTTAATTTCAGATTGAACATTTACCTGCCATTATTTAACTATGTACAATATACAATTATATTTCTTGTAATATTCAATTCCATTTTAATAAGTATAGGTAGAAAAAACAAATCATTAAAATATTCTGAAATCTATGAAGATATAATGAAAAACCAAATACAATTGATATAAACAAAACACGTTATATAGAAAATATAAATAATATGTAGAAAAAGAAGGTATAAAATATAATAGCACTAATAAGACATTTTTCCAACAACCAAAGCAAAAATGATTTTTTCACTGATTTTTATTACTTAAAATAAAAAAAAAAAAAGAAGAAGAAAAAGAACTGTTTGAAATTAAAAAAAAAAAGAAAAAGAAATGCAGAAAAACCCAAAAATCAAGGTGATACCAAATAGATCTCAAGTTTCAAATGAGATTAGAAGAATATACCTTTCATATAGTTGAAGGAGCAAAGGAAAATACTGCAATCCCCACCAATCTCAACAACCAGAACCTCAACATTGTGGCAACATAACAGCAGACAATCCCAAGATAACTAGAAAGGAAATGACCCCTTCAACTGAGACTAACATGCTGCTCAACCGGTGGATTGGTTCATTGCATTTCTACAACCAAATTTCATAAAGTCTGCACTTCCTAAATATGTGATAGCACAGAATAGCAAGCACACTTTCACCATCTACAAATATCTTTCTCACGACAAAGTTCTTTATCCACACTATAGAAACCAATAGGTTATTTTAAAGAATTGTTATACCTGAGCGATTATATCATCTCCTAAACTTAGGTTATTTAATCAATCTTATACCATTTAGTGATATTACTCAGTATGCATGTTATCCCTTGAGTGGTTATATATATGATCATATCATCTCTGAAACATATATTAGTTTATACCATGTAGCCACATTGTTTACCATGCATGCTTAGTGCTGAGTGTGGTGTCATGAAGTGATGAGTCAGTGTAAAATTAAATACAAAACATATTCCAAATGGCAAATTAAATTATACAATTCATGATAAAAGAATAAAATGAAAAAAAAGAAAAAGAAAAAAGAAATAGAGATCTGCTTTGGACCAAAAGACCCGTTTGGCTCTGTATAGTTCCCTCATAAGTGAGTTGAATGGCATAAATAAACCAAATCAATGAAAATCATTAGTGAGAAATCAAATTAGAGACAACAAGAGAGAAATGCAGTGGCAATTTGAAAAAATTGAAAGATGGTGATGAAAATGTTGCAGCAAGAGAGAAATGTAAGATGAAGAACATGGTAAAGGATGGATTCAACTGTATAACAACTGTTTAAAATTTTGCATATAGAAAAAATTGTGAGAATGCAAAAGTTGCAACATACAGAAAACACTTAAAATATTCCAGAAAGTTAGCATCTGAAAATTAAAACCAGAAAGTTTATTAGAATGAAGAAAGA